AGCCCTTTGAATGCAGCAGTGCGCTGCAATGAGGACAGCAAGGTTGTCATGCCATCCTCACCTGGTCCCGGCATGCACATGAGTCAGAATGGTGAAGGGCCCAGGCCGGGGACCACTATAGGAATTGGAGTCCTTTCCAAAGCTTCTTTTGCCCCAAAAAAGGTGGTTAAAAGGAAGGGGCGCCCGAAGAATGTTTTCCTTTCTTTTAGGTCGCTCAGGGAGTGGCATAAGACTTGCTCAAGAGAGTGGGCCAAAAGATTCTCAAAACATGGCCACGCCCGCTTTCAGCATTGCCAGCCTTTGCGCTTCAGCAGCGCGTGGCAGAATGTGCCCTTAAACGCACTCATCAGGCTGTAGCCGCCCCCCTTGAAGTGCATGAATGGGTTCTGAGTAAAAGCCACGCGAAGAACAAGGCTGGCGCTGTCCTCAAGATGCGAGCGACTCAAGCAAAAAGGAGCCGCGCGCTTGGAGAAACAAAAAAAAGAAAAGCCTTGTGAAGCGCAACCACAGGGCATCGCTCGGCTTGCGAAGCTGGCAGCCAGCACGGTAACAGATGTATGCCGCCAAAACCAACGCTGCCACCATGTTGCGCGGAAACTCTCGGAAGAGAAATGCCAGCAGCAGTGGGAGCGCCTCGTCGTTGGAGTCCACAACTGCAGACGCTGCCTTGCGTGCGCCATGCAAAAAAAGCAAGGCAGCAAGGGGCGACAGGCTTACAAAAAAAGCTGCAAACTTCTTTGTAAGCACGGGCCACCATGGCAGCAAAATCCATCAAGCAACTGGCCGCCCTGCAAGGAACTAATGAGTTGCCTTTGTTGCTAACTCGCATTGGATGGTATGTGCCGTAGACTGGTCTCGCAACACAGCAAAGCAGCCAAGTCACACCACGCGCAGCACGAGCTACTGAACTCAGTGTTCTGCCCGTCCGCCCCTGCCCTTTCTCTGTGCGCCACAGCTGCGCTGCCACATCAGCTGACGACGTTGCAGGTGCCATGGCAGCAACTCGAAGTCACGAAACTTTGGGTGCGTAATCAACAAGCTGAGGGACTTGCAAAGAGGCACTGCACCATGAAGAAAGACTTGCGCCCAAAGGGTCTGCCTTTTTCAGAGGATGGCTTCGGTTGTCCTTTTGGCTTTCTAAATTCAAACCGAAAAAAAAACAAAATGTGAATGGATAGAGCCCGCAGCTTCGCCTTAGGGGGAGGGATGCAGTCACCCCGGCTTGCGGGTGACTGCATTGCAGGCCGCACCACACATCTCATGTGTATTGCCATTACCGGCCTCTGGCATGCCCGCAAGGGGATCCATGAAAAGTTGATCCATGAAAAGTTGGCTTGGCTCTTAGACTGCCAAAGGCTTATGATGCTGTGCCGGGAGACAACTCCAAGCGAGCATGGTTGAATAAGACACAGCCCTGAGCAAATGTGCAAGGGTCTCGATGAAGCAGATGCTTCGTCAGTAAGCTGCAGGGTGCTCCATTGACTACAAGCCTACGAATGTCGAAACCAATGTTATGTGTGCCAGGAGATTTCCCAAACCAATAGGCTTCCAACCCTCCAACTGACCAAGTGAGAGTGGGATCCACATGTTTCCTTTGTAAGCGCAGCTCCGCGCGCCTCCCGCTGTTGCCCGGAGCGCTTGCCAGGTCGCCACGCCAGCAGCTCTGCCTCATGGGGCGCGATGCAGTCACTGGCAAGGCAGGGTGACTGCATCGCAGTTGGGCTGCGTTACTTAAGCAGGTGCTCAATGCGCCTACTGAGTCTAGAGATGTCTAGAGGCAAGCATGTGCCCACGACAGTCATTGACACAAAGCTCGCCGCATGAATGAAGTGGTTGAACTTGTGTCTAGACACACCTCAAGGCCTGGAGCGGATTTCCGAACACTGCTGTCGCTTGCAATTAGTGGCACTCTTTGCACTGTTGAGCAAGCTTTCACACAAGTACCCCGTCTCTACGCGTCTGGGTATACAGGCGCAGCAGAAGCGCCTTCTTCGAGTTCACGCAGCTGGGCAAGGACAGCCCTGGCACAGAGCTTCTCAGCTCAACATTGCTCCACAGCGGGGGTCATTCAACTTCGAGCCCTCGCCTGGAGGCCTGCAGATTCAAACTGAGCTTCCAACAATTGTGTGGCCTTGACGTCAAACAAAAAAGCAGTCATCCAAGTCCATACAATATCCTGCGTGCATGCAGGCGCGCTGCGGTCGGCCACGATGGCAGGCGCCGCTGCCAGCCATCGGGCTTCCACTTGTAGTGAGCATAACAACGCATGAGGCGTGTGGTGGCGGTGGTGCTGCTGGTGGTGAGGGTGAGGGTGAGCAGTTGTGTTTAACAACTAGCAACATGTTCGCTTGGCTACGTTTGCTGTTTTTCACGAAAGCATTGCAAAGGGTTCTTCCGGTAAAAACGCCGTTATCGCACGGCCAAACTTGCACGAGAAAGCACAAGACATGTGGACCCGAAAGTAGAATGAGTCTCTTAAGGCGGCGTGGTGGGACCAAACCCACTCTGCGAAAATGACACCCTCTGCGGGGATCGGCGTGGTCGATGTTCAAAAACTGGAACTTTTTACGATTTCCGATTTGCCCGCGCAACCCTCTGCGGTGATCGGCGTGGTCGACGTGCAAAACTGTGAACTTGTTACGACTTCTGATTTGAACGCGCGACCCTCTGCGAGGATTGGCGTGGTCGACAAAAACTGGGGACTTTTACGATTTCTGGAATTTTTACGACTTCTGGTTTGAACGCGCGACCCTCTGCCGGGATTGGTGTTGTCGATGCGCAAAAGCTGAGAAGTTTTTACGATTTCTGCGGTTCAATCACGACCCTCTGCCGGGATTGGCGTGGTCGATGTCAAAAACCTGCGGACTTTTTACTATTTCTGCGGTTCGCGCACACGACCCTCTGCGGGGATTGGCGTGGTCGATGTGCAACACTGGGGGACAAGTGCTACTTTTTCTACTTGCTCTAGTTGGAACGCGGGCTTGAAAGTTTGCCTCGTGGTTTGCGCGCCTGCTCTTGGAGGCGAGCAGCCCCGGGCTCGAATCCTGCTTGGTTTCCGCGGCTTCTAAGCTAGAAAGTCAGCAGCGCGAAACTAACTCGCAAAGTACGCGCACTTTTGCAGCTCTGGCTGGAAAACCGCAACTCTCAAGTACGAAAGCAGTACGCAAAGTACACTTTCAGAAGGCTTCGGCTGGAAAATCGCAACTTTCAAGTACGAAAGCAGTGCGCAAAGTTCACTTTCAGAAGGCTTCGGCTGGCAGATCGAAACTTTTAACTACGAAAGTATTACGCGAAGAACACTTTCGCAGGTCCGGATCGACAATTGGACTCACGTCGAAGGCAAGGTTGCTGTGTTGTGGTCAGCGCTGCACGCAGAGAACTTGCTCAGAGAACTTGCACATAGACACTTGCGCCGAGCTTGCAAAGCACACTTGCGCAGCGCGCTTGCACAGCGCAACTTGCACAGAGCAACTTGCACAGAGCACTTGCACACGCAGAGCAACCTGCGCAGAACACTTGGGCCGAGCACTTGCACAGAGCAACACTTGCACAGAGCACTTGGGCCGAGCACTTGCGCAGACCAACTTGCGCAAAGCACTTGTGCAGCAACTCGCACAAGCACACTTGCAGAAGAAAACGCACGTGAGAGACTACTAAAATGAAAGTTTGCTCTGCAGGCCCCTTGATGGACTCCAGATCATGCATGAAACCAAAGACCGCGCTTGACATCACACACCGCGATCGCTATATGTTCTGCTTTCGGGCCACCCGCTCTTCTAGTTTGATGTACGCTCCCCCAAATTGTGGTTTAAGCAGCCCCCAGAAGGGGGTACATGAAAGCAAGGGGAGCCCAGAAACCCAAAACCAAACGGAAGCGAAAACACGCAAAGCTTTTGGGCCGCCTGTTCTTCTAGTTTTTTTGGGTGGGGGTGGCTGCCAGCTCCTGGGGGCGGCCGACGCGTTAAGTGGGCCTCCTGGGCGGCTGGCGCGCCACTGGGCGGCCGGCGCGCCGCTGGGCGGCCGACGCGCCGCTGGGCGGCCGACGCGCCGCTGGGCGGCCGACGCGCCGCTGGGCGGCCGACGCGCCAGGTGCAGGCGCCTGCCGACGCTGTTGGATTGCAAGCTGATTGCCTATCCTTGCCCGCGGCCACAAACTCATCCGGCCAACTGCATTTGTCTACCCATCCAACATCCAACTACTCATTTCTTGATGTGTGAAGTCATTTGTCTGCCAACTTATCTGCAATGTAAATGTGTTTTCCCGATCTACCGGTGTGTGTTGTAATGCTCGCTGGCTAGCTACCTACGACTCTCTCTCTTTGTTGCTTTCAAACAGTTTAGCTGTTTAGCTATCCATCTAGTTATCTACCCAGCTTTCCACCTGGCTCTGAGTCTATCTAATCATCGATCTTTTGCGACCATCGATCTATCAGTCCATCGATCGAACTGTCTTTCTATTTATCTAGCTATCTATGCATCTATCGATCTATGCATCTATCTATCTGTGTGCCTGTCTCTTTGTCTGTCTGTCTGTCTATCTATTTATCTACCAGTCTATGGCGCTATTTATCTTTCTACGTATTGATTTATCTATCTATCTATCTGTTCATCGGTCTATCTAGTCCTGTATGTGCCTATCTCTCCCTGCACACCTACCACAGAGGCGCACGAAGCTATCTTTTTGCCAAGCTGGAACATCTAGCTGAAAATCGGACCAGGCAATGACCCCTGGCGCTTAAATCCAAAAGTGGGTTTACATTCCACTGCGTGAGCTTTGAAACTGGAAGCAGCAAACCCCAAGTCTTGCCAATCCGCTCATGATTGAACATGTGTTGCGTACTCGTGCCACTGCTCACGCAAACACCTACAACACCACTTACCTCGCGCCAATCTGTAGATAAACTGCTTGCCAAAACTCAAGCCATGATGGCCTGAATGCGCAAGCTCAAGCTGTCATCAAGCTAACAGCACCTGTCGTGACTGAAGCAAACTTGCGCCGGCCCTTCACTTCGACTTCAAACTCTTGGGGGACTTGTCCTCAGTGCCATCTTCCTGCTTGCGCTTTCTCTCCTTGGTCTTGCGCTTCTCCTTGTCCTTGCTCGGGCTTCTCCGTGTCCTGCGCTTCTCTTTCTCCTTGTCCTTCCCGGTCTCCTTCTTGGGCTTGGACTCCTTCTCTGTGCTTTGCAGCATCTCAAGGCCCGGCAGATCGTCGTTGGCATCCCTGGCGTCAGAATACGCAAGCGAACCCTATGGTCCCAACAAAGAGGAAAACGTATGCCACTGAAAAGCTGACGAAGTCAATGACAGGCTGCGCGGTGTCGCCCTTGGTCTTCTTTGGCGTCTTGTTGTCGGCTTTCTCTTCCTTCTTGCTGGTGCCATCTGCCTTCGTCAGCACATCAGCTCGTGAAGTGAGGCGTGGGTCCTCCATTGGATGGCCTTTCGTGATGAACATGTCCATGATCTTCTCCTTCAAGTTCTTGCGGAGCCACTCGGCATGGCTGGCATCTCTTGCAAGTGCAATCACCACGACTCCCTTTTCAAGAAGGCCAAGCACACCATTGCCACCACTTGGCGTTGCATGCACGCACCAAGCGCAGGATGCCTCGTACGCCAGCTCTTTCCTCTATAGTGGCTGGCAAAAGAAACATCAGGACACAACACGAACACCCAGTTAGCAAAGATTGACAAAGCATGACCAAACTTGACTGTTTCGGCCAGGTGTCAAAAGGGCAGGCGCATTGTCATGCGGCCAGCATGATGCTGTGAGCTCAGCCGACGTGTGGCGAAGCAAAGCCCGGCCCCCCAAACGCTTTGGGTAGCAGCGCCTCTTGCCGCTGTCCTTAGCATCCTCCGCTTCCTTCTCCTTGTCCTCGTCCTCTGCCTCAGAGTCATCCCCAAACGGGTTCTCCTCGTCAGCGTCAACGGCAAAAGTGCTCATCCAAGCTTCCTTGACAGTCGCTGGAACCCGCATGAGCTCCGAGTTCTTGCAAATAGGGACTTTGTTGATGGTGTCAGAATATAGGGGGCTGCCTGCATCAACGTGCTGGCGATGACGGGGGAACCCCTTTGGCATCTTGCCCTTGAAGCAAAGAAAAAGGCTCTCCCCTTGATGGGAGTTGGCCACGCCGCGCATCCTGCACACCAACCCCTCGTCTTTCATCATTTTCAAATCGTACGAGAGCCGGAAGAGCTTGTAATTCCAGCCGGCTTGTGTGATCACGGAAATGACCTTGCCATCGTGAGCTGGGTTCTTGCCGCTCATGATGAAAGCAATGTCTCGCCCAGCTTCCTGGCAGGGTCACTGGCATTTGCCTGGCATCAACCATGTGACGTAATCCTTGACAAGGTTTTCAAACACATGCAGCTTGGGATTATGTGTGAGTGACCCCTTCGGTCCATCAAGCCATTGGTCGTTTTGACGAAGAGCCCTAGGGCATCATCGGGAAAGGATGGATACCTTTGAAAAGCGTTCTGGCCCTTGTAGCATCGAGGTAAGCCGCAGTTCTTGATGTCAAAGAAGCCCATGAGCCTCCCTGCTGCCCGCGTCACCTCCACGGCCTGGATGGTGGTCGTCAACCTCAGGCGACGACAAAAGCGTGACAAAATCCACGCCTTCTCCCTACGCCAAACAAGACAAACTAGGAAGAAGAGCCCACGCATCCTGCCCAGGTACGCAGTGTAGGTGTTCTCCACGTCATGAATGCAGATGAAGTGCTGGCTGAGGTAGTCCTCCGCCTTCGAACTGCAGTCACGCTGAAAAGATGCCACCGTGTCAGCGGCGTCCGTCCCCGCCAAGCTGCCTGGCAAGGAATCATCACATGCGCCATCCGTGCTCGCGCTGGCAGCAACAGCTGCGTCCGGCTGCGATGCCTCGGCAGCGTCCTTGCCTTTCCTGTACTCATCGTACGCCTGTAGAACCTTATGCCACTCACCCTTAACTGACTCAACAGCCAAGAAGGATTCTGGCGACACCCCCCCTTGCGGCGGCGACCCAAGGATTCCTTTGAGGCCCTGGTTGAACTGGCCGGCAACTGTTTTTCGCCAGAAATTGAAGAGCATGCTCATGGGCTTTGGCAAGGCAGAGATCCAACTCAGACCATGCTCTGGAAGGCTATTGGGAGGGAACTCCTTGTGGTACTGCAGAGGTGCGCTCATGATGGCCTTCGCGCGGGCCAGTAAGTCCCTCTGAGCATCGGTGTCGCAGTCCACCACGTAATTCTTCAAGAAGAAGATGCCCAGCTTTCTGATAAAGCACCTGGCGTCACGAATGCGTGGCCGATGGAAAAAGCAACATGTTGCTGCGAACTCCGACCAAAGCGAAGTGGCCACAGAACACCAAAAAGAGAAAAGCCAAACAAGAGGCGAGCAGCCAGACGGCGATCTCTCCGGCTTTGGCCAGCAGCTGCGACTTTGAAGGAGCGTCAGCATTGTTGGTGCGAAGAGACAGCACGACCAGGCCTTCTGTCACAAATTCTAGCTCAGCTGACGACTTACATCGTTGGCAAAGAGCCAATACCTTCGTGAAATCCTCAAAGATGGTAGAGCGCCCATATTCAGCGGTGAGTAGCTGGATTGCTCTCTTCGCCTTCGGCGCCTTGCTGAGCTCCTCTGCGATCCTTGCAGCCCAAGCTCCGACACAAAGCGAGCCAGTTGAATCAGGAGGCGCCCCACGTGCCAGTTTCGAAAGCAAACTTGCCAAACATGCTAGTTGCCAACAAAGAATCGAAAGCAGGTCCTTGACCTTAGTCGGGGTCGGCTTCCGCGAGCCTTGGAAGCTGACCTTCTCGCACAAGTAGTCTGCGATCTTCTTCTCGTTCACCTCCCCAAAGGCTGGCAAGGTTCGCAAGTACTTGCGCGTGGAAACCACCAGCTCCATGTACTTCCACACGTCAAGCCCAAAATGCTCCCGAAGAAACTCGAAGCTCTCGCAGAGGGCCGCCGCCTGCAAGAACGCCGGGTCGTCGGGAGCCAGGTACTGGAAGTCCAGGGGCATGTTCCTGCAAGGCCAGAGCGAGCAGGACAATGGGCACAGGGTAGCGGATGCGCGAGGCATGAAGGCATTCAACTTGCTTCAACCACTTAACAGGCTGAACTGTATCACGCACGCGCGCATTTCAACCAACTAACGCTCTGCACTGCAGTAAGAATGAAGCAAAACATGTTCCCACCGTCCTGCCAAACAGCAAGATTGCGTCAACGTCGTGCTCCGCAGTGCCCTTGACGCGTGCCAACGCCAGCATTCTGTACCATGCCAGGATCAAGAGCTCGCCGCCCACCACGTTGAGCTCGCCCTTGACTGGTTGGTCCTGCAGGCTCGTCAGCGCTACCGTGACGTTAGCCCCCTTCGGCCAACGCAGCGGAGTCTTCAACTTGAAGCTCCCTTCCTCCGCCCACAGGTGGTACACGATCTTATCCAACGCAGACACCGTGACATCTGTCGCCGACATGGTGATGTCTGTGGACTTGCTCAGCGGAATCTTGCACCAGGTAATGTTGGCCGCAAAGTTACGGGCTTCCTGTCCGCACCACTCGCAAACGCAGTTGTAACACACAATGGAAAAGCTGGTGACAAGACCAGCACGCCAACGATTTTTAAAAGTGTGGCTCTTCATCACATACCCTAGCAAAGAAAACGAGAATAGTCAAATAAGGTCCTTCGTAGATGAGTTCCGGAGAGCTTGAAGAACAGTCTCATGCTGGTAGCAGGCCCCTATTGCCCCTTCTGCCTTCGACACAGCAGGCTTGCCTTTGATCTTCTCCACATCAGCCGAGGCCTGTGCCCAAATCTCACTTGTCCAAGCGTCTGCCACCGCACGGAGATCGGCCATGCCACCCTCAAATCGGCCCAAAGCTTGCCACCTCGCCAAAAGGCTGCAGTCAATCCGCCAACTCACAGCAGCCAAACTTGATGTAACCTTGGCATGTCTTGCCTGTTCGTAATCCCGGGGGCCTAATCACAATCCATAATCTGCGTAATCCTTGTTCTGGTTGGGAATATGTTTAATCCGTAATCCGCGCTGCAACATGTGGGTAAAAACCCCGTGCTGGAGCATCGAAAGTCCACACAGCCCATAATCTGCAATCCGCAAGCCGCATGATCAATCCGTAAACCGCATAATCCGCAATCCGCGAATCATTGGGGATTAGATTTTGAGCAAGCATGCGAACATGAACTGCTATCTTAAAATTTCCGGGCCCGCCAGCCCGCCTGCGCAGTCTCCCGCATTCGCAGTGGCACCAGCACGCATGGACCTGACACATTCATCAATCACCCCTCTCTAGACTTGATTGAAAACGCAAAACGAAGCCACATCATCAGACCTCAACGCCTTTCTCAAAAACCCTATCAGCTGTTTTGCGTGACTGAGGACACGGGTGGAAGGGTTGAAGGCTTCATCCCGACACGCGGAAGAAAAACAAGGTCTACCTGCTTGACTGCAATGCCCGGATTTCTACTAAAAAACTGCTCTGCCGACGTCTGGCGCTTGGAGTTCCTGCGCCAACGCTGCGAGATCGAGCAGCGCTTGGGCCAAACAAGGAATCTAATAAGTAAGGCCTGCCGAATCTCACAAAATCGACCCTGAGAACGCAAACTTCGGGACGCGTTTGTGTTGAAGGTGGGGGGAGCGTTATTCAATGACAGGCCAACAACAACGGAAACTTCAAGATTGAAGAAAACTGTGAAATGTAGCTAGAAGTACTCAATTTCCTGAGAAGTCCGCCGTCCTTGTCTTGCAAACTTCAACCCTTGCATGGCCACCGAAGCCCGAGCGCCTTGTAGGCACCAGCTCTGGCCAACAGCGGCAGGCAGTCCAGCAACCCGTGCCAGAACAACAAGGCTTGCTTCACCTAATGCTGAGGAACCTGTCGCAATGCTTGTGCAAAGGGAGGGGTGTTGCTTGTTTCCTTCGTGCAAGGTATGTTTATCTAGTTTTTCAGGCTCGGCTTTGCGTACGCCTGGGCCCTGCAGCTTTTGATTTTCGTTGCATGAAGCACGGGGCACTTTGCCAGAGTATCAGTAGCTGGTTTAGTGGCAAGGACAAAGATGTTTTGCCGAACAGTGCTTCTCTGTTGCAACCATCTGCTGCTCATTTGCTCATTGGTGAGTGCAGGCCAGTTAGTGATTATCAGAAAGAAACCTACAAAGCATATCATTTTAATCATGCTCCAAAAGATGAGAAAACAAACAAGTTGATACTAAATGTTATGGATAAACAAAATTATGTTTTACATATTGACATTTTAAAATTCTATTTGAAACAAGGACTTAAAATCAAGAAAATAAACAGAGTAATAGAATTTAGACACAAGCAATGGTTGAAACCGTGGATTGACTTTAACACAGAGAAGCGAAAGAACGCTACAAGTGACTTTTCAAAAGATATGTACAAATTAATGAACAACGCTGTATACGGCAAGACTATGGAAAATGTGAGAGAACACATTGACTTTGAGCTGGTTGATACACCTGAACGATACCAAAAATGCGTTAATAATCCTAATTTCAAATACAGGCATATCATCAATGAAAATCTTATAGGAGTTGAAAAAGCAAAAAGTGTAGTTAAATTGAATAAACCAATATATGTAGGAATGAGTATTTTAGATTTATCAAAACAACATATGTATTCATTTTACTATGACATTATGAAACCGAAATATAAAAATAATATCAGAATGTTATATACTGATACTGACAGTTTTGTATTACATATTAAAACCGAAGATGTATATGATGACTTTAATGACATTAAGGATTATATGGATTTCAGTGGTTATGACCCTAAACACAAATGTTATGATAAAACAAACAAGAAAGTTTTAGGAAAATTCAAGGATGAAGCAGATGGAAAGATTATAACAAACTTTATAGCATTGAAACCTAAATCATACTGTTTCAAAATTCATAATGAATCAAAAGAAGAAAAGAAGAGCAAAGGAATAGTTAAACATAAAGTGAAGAAGGAACTGTCATATAATTCTTATGATGACACACTCAAAAACAATAATTGCGACACTATAACATTCAACAGCATAAGAAGTAAAGCCCATCAAATATACAGCATCCAACAAACAAAACAATCGCTTAGCGCCTATGAGAATAAACGCTTTTACATAGACAGTATTAATTCATTGCCATACGGACACTACGCTATTACGAAGTAATAGCCTAGTGAGCTTCGCGACACTACAGCATCATAGCATAGAGAATTTACAAATATACTTAAAGAAATAATTATATTATATATTAAGTAAAATGACCTGCTTTATTGTAGATGGCAATAAAAAGAAAATTTCTATGACAAATGATGAATTTGATTTGTTGTGGAATTCTATTGAGGGTGAAGTTTCAGACTTCAGCACGGATACAGAGGAAGAAATTAAGAAGGCAAAGGAAAAGGAAAGTAAGAAAAAATATAATGATGTATTGAACAAGAAATATAAAGAAGAAGGATACTTTAAAGAGTATTTTATAGAAAATGATAAGTCATTAGAATGTGAAAGATGCGGTTGTATGATTAAAAATAAGTCTAATATGGCAAAGCATTTAAGGACTGATAAATGTAAAAGAATTCATAGAGAAAGAGCATATCAGAATGCTGTTGAGAAAGTATGTTATAAATATTTAACTAATACAAATTGATAACATTATCTTAAAATAATGTTATTCATTTATTAAGAGTAATTCGTGTCTGTTATATTTCTTGGTGTTCCCTTCAATTTCATAATACTTATTAAGCATCATATCACGACCTACATTTGTTATTTTGTATGTTGATTGACTCCATTTTGAAGTGGTTTCTTTCATTGATGTGTAATTTCCTTTTCCTTTGTTATAAATTTTGACTTTATCACCGACATTTAATTTAGGATACTTTCGTAAATACGTTTCCTTCATCAACGAGTTCGCCTTTGCTGTTACTTCGTTTTCGTCTTTGTGTGCTTCATCAGGTGTAAGTTTTGTCGTCCCGTGTGTCATTTGTTGATTATACTTGTTTAAGACTGCTTGCAATAAACTCGTCCAAGTTCTATCAGTCGCTTTTTTTCTGTCTCCTAACATCTTTTTAACTGTGCGAATGGAGCGTTCAGCAACATTAGCGTGTGTCAATGTTATGATGCTTCTTATTGCTTCACCTTTTAAATACTCTTGTAATTTCTTATATGCGAATGCCCCGTCATCATCTGTATAAATACTCATCGGATGACCTAATACTTTGAAGCATTGAAGTATTGCTTTATAAACAGTCTCACCGTCTCTAACCTTCATCGGTTCAATGTGTAGTTTCTTACTGAATATATCTATACATATTAATCCATATCTTGGACTGCTTAAATCTGATGTGCCCGTTGCCTTCATCAGTGAAATCATATCCATTATGTCTAACTGATATTCATATCTTGCGAAAGGTGCTGAATAACTGTTGTATTTACTATATCCTTTCTCCTGCTTGATAGGTTGCTTTTTCATAAATGTCCTAACTTCATCTAATGTTATACCCAGTCCTTCTTTATTTGCTTGTTTGTATAACTCATTTACTGAACCGAACCCAGTTTCAACATTGTAATAAAGTTTATGTAAAACCTCATCTTTTGATAATTTACTCATTATTTAAAAAGAATAGAATAAAATAATTCTTAATATTTATGAATAATATTAAGAAGTATTGATTTAACTTACTCCATTTGGAAGTAAAATTCCCGCTTCTACCATTTCTTCAAAAACTCATCCCTTCATCTATTTCAGGTTCTTTACATATTATTTTAAACTGTTCTTTTTCAATGTCTATCTTCTTTTTCTCCATATCATTAAATATATTTGCTTTCTTTTCACACTCTCCACAAATATTAATATAATGTTTATGGTAATAACTCATTCTATGTATTTTTTCAATTAATCCTCTATCATTTTTAACTTCTTTTTCAAAATCCAAATTGTTTCCTGTAATTTTACAACCGCATTTTAATGTAGTCATTAGTTCTCTATTATATATAGGGGTCATTTCTTTAAGTAGTTTTTTTAATATAAACTAACCAGTATCTCACTAATCAATTCAGCAGGGATTTTGTATAAATCTTCTTGCTTATGCTTTACATAATTTTCACCCCAATTTTCCCGCTTTCCACTTGGTGCCCGTTGCGCAGTTTCAATATGTTTGTTATTAACAACTTTACCACAGTCTTTTTTACATAATGGTCTCGCTTTCCAGTTTGTTAGATTGTTCCACAACCTAGTTCGCTTCCTGTAATTAAATCCATATTTGCAATAGTCAATGTCATTAAACCTTAACCCATTCATAAAAGACTGACTTTTCAATAATCCAGTCTGTGGATTTTCAATAACAAAATACGGCCATCCGAAATATTCAATAATCTCTATTGTTTTTAATACAATACTATTAGCATATTCAATGTTTCTTATTCCTGTTCTTTTTGCAATACTGTATTCTGTGCAAGGTGGTGATGCCCAAATAAAATCAAAATGGTTTCTGTCAAATTGTTTATAATCCCATTCAAGTATATCACAATTAATATCAGCATTTTTCAAATCCAACGATATTACATTAAAACCGAGCGACTTTGCAATAAGTCCAACACTGCCTGTTCCGCTAAATAATTCTAATAAATTCATATTATTATAATGATTTAGATATTTATTATATTGTTTCATATTTTCCTTCTTCGTTCTTAAACAGTTTATAAAATTCAATAGTTTCTTGCTTCGGGCTTTTAATTTTGTTCTTATTTAACATATCCATATATTGCTTTTGTTTATCTTGAAAACTACCAGACGGACGTCCTATTTGTTGTTTTTCAAAGATTTTATCCATCTTCTCCTTAT